ACTCCACACCCCCTGCCCGCCTGGTGCCCAGCCCGACACAGCCCCTGCCTGCCCCGTACCCAGTCCCACATCCTCCTGCCTGCCTGTTTCCTGGTCCCATACATCCCTCTTCCTGCTCGTGCTGGGGAGGTGGGATCAGGGCTGGCATACCCTCTTTCCTAGCCCATACCTAGCCCCACAGACGCCCTGCCCGCCCGGTACCGAGCCCCGCACCGCGCCGCCGGGCGGGGCAGCCCCGGCGGATGGAGACCGGCGCCCCGGGCACTCACCATGCGCCCGTTGTGGACCACCAGGAGTTTGCTCTTGCCCTGCATCCCTGGCTCGGCCCGGCTCGGCCCGGCGCGCTACCGGCGCGGCCCGCGGCCCCGCAGCATCCCCGGCCGGCGGCGCGGCTGTCGCTGCTCTCCCGGCCCGGCCCGGCGCTCCCGGCACTACCGCTTTCGGCTGCCACAGGAAGTGTCGCCATGGGAACCGAGACCGCAGCGGGGGGAGCGGGGCCGCCCTCCCGCCCCGCTCCGCCGGCACCGCCCCGGTGGCACCGGCTCCAGCGCCGGGACAGGAGGCGCCGCGGCGCCGCCGCATCCCTGTCTCCATCTGCATCCACATCCGTGATCCCATCCCCGTCTGCCTCCCTGTTCCCATCCTCATCCCAATCCCCATCCTCATCCTCATCCCACTCAATCCCCATCCCTGTCCCTGTTTCCATCTGCATCCACATTCGTGACTCCATCCCCATCTGTATCCCTGTTCCCTTCCCCATCCTAGTCCCCATCTCCATCTGTATTCCTGTTCCCTTCCCCATCCTAGTCCCCACCTCCATCTGCATCCTGTTCCCATCCCAGTCCCTTGTCCCCATCCCCATCTGTATCCACATCTGTGACCCTATCCCCTTCTGCATCCCTGTTCCTTTCTGCATCCCAGTCTCCACTCCCAGAATGGTCTGTGCTGCCTTGGGGTCACCACCCCATCACCACCCCTCCCCGCAGCCTGGGGGGCTCCTCCTGGTCATCACATCACCCCAGGGAAGGGGGGTTCAGAGGCAGGATGGCATCAACATATCCAGCACACCCTGCCACCAGCCTGTGCTGCTTGCCCTGCTCACATGGGGTTTGGGGGTGGCCCCAGGGCTGGTGTTTGGGGAGAGCTGCCTGTGCCAGCAGAACCTGGCAGAGAGGAGCGGTGGACGTGCAGCTTGGAGTCACCAAACTGATGCCTAAGCAGTTTTGCCCATCTTCTAAGGCCAGGGTTCCATGTTGATCAGCAACCACAAACCAGCAGAGGATATTTTAGGATATTTGTTAGGAAATCTCAGTAACTAACGGCACAGGATAAACCGCAGAGCACCATGGCAACCTGCTCAGGGAAATGCTAATAACTGGGACGTAAGGTGGGTGATTAACCTATCAAAAGCAGAACCCTAACATTAAATCGGGTGCAGATCTATGCAGAAAAAAATGAAGCATTCCCACTGTGAGCAGGCACAAAAGTGGAGCGACATGAGCAGCCCCAGCCCTGGCAAGGTCTCTGGGTAGGGGGGAGTAGAGGGTGGCCCCTAAGGCTCCCCTCTATCCCCTACCACTGCACAGAGGGGCATTGGAATGGGGGGTGATTGTGCTGCTCCCCTTCCTTTGTTGGAGTGTGGCTGTGTTGTCTGGCTTGGCTTTGCAACAGGAGTTATAAATAAAAATGTCTCTCCAAGAGTGCATGACTCACGATCCTCACCGCGAGGATAACCTCTCTGCTAGGAAACCTGATCTGAGGACCAAACTGCAGCGTGCAGGAATCAAAGACATTGCTTAATTAATGTATTTAATGCAAATGGAGAATGGACAAGCCCCTCACTCCACCTGGGCTGGGGTGGGCTGCAGGGGAAGGTCCCTCTGGACCCCTGTCCTGCGCCATCCCCGACCTCGAGCTGCCAACAGCCCAGCCCTTGACCTGCTCCAGGGCCTGGTGGTTTCCCTCGGGCAGCAGTGGGTGATGTGGCCTCAGGCAGCTCCAGCCTCAGCATTTCCTCCTGCCACCCTCTGAGGGGGCAGCTTGTGGGTGCTGGTGGGAGGCTGTGTCAGCCCTGTGCCCCAGGGCACAGCCATACCCGTGGTGCCTGGGCACAGCATCCTCCTGGGGTGGGAGCCTGGCCCCGTGGGGAGAGGGACACCCTGTGCCCCAGTGCCCCAGCCCAGGGGGACCTGGTTTATCCTGGGGGTAGGTGACGGCGGGGTGACAGCTGGCTGGGGGATTTGCTGAGGGCATTATTTAATGCTGTGGGTAAATGGAGGAACAGCAGCTAATTCTGGAGCCCATAATCCTCTTCCTCCCCCGGGGATGGGGAGCGTGCCAGTCACGCAGCCGCCGGCGGGCCCCGGGGACAGGCCCCCGGCAGCTCCCCAGGCGTGCTGCGGGCCACAGAGACTCCTGGACCATGGGTGATGTGCAGAAGGTAAGTGGGGTCCGGTGACATCCCACCTGCTCCAGGGTGGGTGAGCAGCATCAACTCTCAGTTGCAATGCTGGGCGGGTTAGCAGAGCAGGGCTCTCCCCTGAGCACATTCCCCCAGCACAGTCAGGAGCTGCCAGAGGTGCTGGGGCAGGGACAGCATACCTGGAGGGGGAGGAATTGAGGCTCTGTGGATCTGCCATGGGGCCACCCCAAGTCTGGACACCTTGGGAGCAGAGCTCAGGCCACAGATGCAGGGTACATAGCCAACAGGGCACCCAGTTCTCCCCCTTCAAAACAAGAGTGCTCTGCAGCCACCCGGCACCCCACAGGGCTCCCCCAGCATCTCCCTGTGCCCCTAGGGGCTGCTCTCCGTCATCCAGAAGCTGAAGGGTTCACCGGAGCAGGAGCTCCGCATCGTCCTGCTGGGGCTGGACAACGCGGGGAAGACGACACTGCTGAAGCGCCTGGCATCCGAGGAGGTCAGCACCATCACCCCCACTCAGGTAGGTGCTGCTGGGGGCCACGGCCAGTGCGGGGGGAGGAGGGAGTGCAGGTCCCAACTGTCCCTTGGGTCATGCTGGCGTTTGTGTCCCTGCTCAGGGTTTCAACATAAAGAGTGTCCACTCGCATGGTTTGAAGCTGAATGTCTGGGATATCGGGGGGCAGCGCTCCATCCGCCCATACTGGAAGAAGTATCTGGGCAGCACAGACCTGCTGGTGAGTGGGGCAGCCCCCCACAGCCCTGTGCATGGAGAGATGTGCCTTCTGTGTGGGGCCACCAGCAGTGGTGTGTGGGCCCCACAGAAGGGCTGTGCAGCCAGGCTAGAAGGAGCCCCTGACTGTCCCTTTTGTCCCCACGGCAGATTTATGTCATTGACAGTGCCGACCAGAAGCGTTTCGAGGAGACAGGGCAGGTATGAAGGATCCGATGGGGTTGGCTGTGGGGTCCTGGTGCTCGGAGATCTGTCTGGCACCAGCTCTTTGAGGGCTGGAGCTGGCAGAGAGGCTGCTTTCAACCGTAGGGCAGTGCTGCAGTGGGGGCCGTGCTGTGCCCAGAACTCTGTGGGAAGGGCTCAAGATCAGTCCCAGCAGGCAGAGGCACCCCCTCTATGGTAGATCCGTGCCCAGCAGCTCCCCCCCAAGCCTGGTGTGCTGCCCGAGGGGTACCTGGCACAAGGGTGACTCTGCCCCAGGTGGGAGTGACCCCTCAGGTGCCAGCCCTTGTCCCAACTCCCCAGCACCAGGTTAGGGAGTAGCAAATTCAGTTACAAACCCTGGGAATAAAGCTCTGAGAGGGGAAGGTGAGACTCTTGAGTGCCAGCCTTGGCTGTTCCGGCACCAGACGGCGTTGTGGGTGTGCCAGACAGCACGGGACTGGCAGCAGCCTCCTGCAGCTGCCCTTTACCCAGGCTCTCAGTGCTGGGAATACTTCAGCCCTCAGAGAACCCTGGGCCTATGGAGCTTCAGGGGGGCATGTCTTTCCTTTGGAATGTCAAGACCTCACAGCTACTTTATCTACAATAAGAGAGAGGGGATGAGGTGGTTTGGGAGCTGAGGTATCCAGCCCACCCTGGGCAGCTCCGGTGAGGGCAGCAGCCCTGGGAGAAGGCTCTCTCTTGGCAGGAGCTGGCAGAGCTCACGGAGGACGAGTCCCTCACGGGGGTCCCGCTGCTGGTGTTTGCCAACAAGCAGGACCTGGTGACCGCAGCCCCTGCAGATGAAATCGCAGAAGGGCTGAACCTCCACACTTACCGAGACCGGGAGTGGCAGATCCAGGCCTGCTCGGCCCTGTCTGGGGAAGGAGTGCAGGTAGAGATGGGGGCCTGCAGGCTCTGCAGAGGTGGGAGAGGACCCAAGGGCCTGCCGTGCTCTTGGGGCTGTGCTCACAATCTCTTTTCCCTCCAGGATGGGATGAACTGGATTTCCAGCCAGATCATGAACAGAAAGAAGTGAGAGCTGCGAAGTGCCAGACGGGACTGAGCTGCAGGTCCCTCCACCATGGCCAACCCCCTTGGTCCCTCGGCTCCCCCCAAGGCTCTGCTGGGCCCTGAGCCTCAGACTGCCATGCTCAGATGATTTTCCCACCTAGTCTTCCACTAACCAATTGGTTTCCCCTCTCCCTGCCTCCTGGGCTTCCACGGGCTCCTTGTACCCCTTGACCCTCCTGCAGCCCCTGTGCTGTTGGAGGAAGCACATGTCCCACTGCGTCAAGGGCTCGCACACCTCTAGCACGAGAACCTGCCCAGGATCTGGGGCAAGCACGAAGACAGCGAGGACGTGGCTGGGCAGTCACCAACGGAGGGCTCTCCTTGCCTGGTGCCAGCTCTGGCTGCAGCCACTCCCTCTGTGCCGCTGAGAGGCTGCTCTGCCAGAGCCCTTGGGACGCCCAAACCAGGGCTGCCGCCGTCTCGCTGCCCATCCAGAGGGATGGGAGATTCCGCCTCCTGACCACCACGGGGCGGAGGAATGGGGTGAGAACCTCTGCGATGGGGCGGGGGGTGGCCCTGCAGCCCTCAATAAAGCTGCTGTGACCTCCACTCTGCCTCGGCCAGTCCTTTGCCATGGCGCCGGGATAGCGCACCCCGCTGCCCAGCCAGTCCCGCGGGGTCATTGCCGGGAACGTCCCCGTTCCCGGGTCCCGTCGGGGCGGGTCACGTGTCCCGCGGGCGGCACGAGGCACGCACGTGAGCGCCCTGGAGAGGGCGGGAACTACATCTCCCGGCATGCCCCCAGAACCGCCGCGCACGCGCAGGGATGATGTTCGAACTCCTCCTCCCGCCTCCCGAAGCGCAGCGGGAGCCTCTCACTCCCTCTGGCCCCGCCTCCCTTCCCTACCATACGCGGGTAGCGGTGTCGCTCACCTCCAGAGGCGGGACCGCGGCAGTGTGTGGGTTTCTGATTGGCCATCGCGGTTGCGGGGCGGGGCCGGGGCGGGGCGCCGGAAGGCGGAAGCGGAGAATGGCGGCGGGTGCGGGCGGGCTGGTGGCGGTGGCCGCGCTGCTGTTGGCGTTGGTCGGGCCGCGCCCGGCGCCCGCCGAGCTCACGGACGGCAACAGCGAGCACCTGAAGCGGGAGCACTCGCTCATGAAGCCGTACCAGGGTGAGCGCGGGGCCGGGCGGACGCGCCGTGCGCCCCGAGAGCGACCGGGGCTGATCCGCGTTCTGTTCGCCCCTTTGCAGGCGCGGGCTCTGCCGCGATGCCGCTGTGGGACTTCCAGGGCAGCACCATGGTCACCAGCCAGTACGTCCGCCTGACGCCCGACGAGCGCAGTCGAGAGGGCTCCATCTGGAACCGCGTGGTGAGAGCCCGAGGGGAGACGGGCGGGGGTCCGTGGCGGCCCCGCTGCCTCTCCCGGGTCTCGCCCTGACGCCGCTGAGGTCTCTCCCACAGCCCTGCTTCCTCAAGGACTGGGAGCTTCACGTCCACTTCAAGATCCACGGAGCAGGCAAGAAGAACCTGCACGGGGACGGGCTGGCGCTGTGGTACACGCAGGATCGGCTGGTGCCAGGTCAGTGCGGGTCAGCAGCACACGTACCCTGTCCCGGAAGGCAGCTGGGCAGGGAGGGCCCCCGAGCTCCCTCTGTCTGGTGTGTCCTGTGTGGGAGCAGGTGCCCTCAGCCACCTGCCTGGCAGTGAACAGCTTGTACAGCTCAGAAGTCTGAGCATAAATCCTGGAGCCTTTTGTCTCCAATGTTCTGTCCTGTTTCAGGTCCTGTCTTTGGCAGCAAGGACAAGTTTCATGGACTGGCTATTTTCCTTGACACGTATCCCAACGATGAAGCGACGGAGGTGAGTGGTCCAGGGAGCCTGTGCAGTGCCCAGGAGGACGTTTCCTTCCTCCTCCGAGAGCTTCACACCCAGTCTAAGGAAAAGTCTTCCCTTACTTGAGCGTGGTCTGCTCTTCCTGTCGTAGGAGCTGGTAAAGGGAAGAGTTTGTACATGCATTTATGGAGATAAGAAGGTCCTTGCTCCTTCTTGTGCTGCTGTTGGCTACACAGCTGTTTTCCAGGCATTTCCTTCCACACATGAGAGTGGGCACAGGGCTGGTGTAAACCAAGCACCACCGTTAATATTCATCCTGAGTGTCATTTCCTGAGCTCTGTGCTTTGGTTGCTCATTCCATGATGTTTCTGGTCTTATTTTCTCTTTGCAACCTGTGTGTCTCTGAAAGAAACTCCTAGGCTGGCTCTTTGCTCCAGAATTCCCTGTGGTCACAGTACAGATCAGTTCCATGGGGGCTGGGGGTCCTTTTCTTCTGTCCTGCTCTGTGTTTTGTTGATCTCATGATGGCACAGTCAGAAAACAAAACTGTGCTTTGAGGTCTGTATCACCAAAAAATGTGATGCTTCAGTCATAAAGCACCTGGAAATGACCCATCTCCCTGTTGCCTTGATGCTCATGGGAGGTGAATTTCTATCTCCAATTGGCCTCTCCTGGTCTATAAAATCTACTGACAACAAAGCCCTGTGTGTGGTTTTGCTGCTTATGTGGGGTTTCTGCCTGTTCTGGGTCTTGTGCTCTGTTCTTACACTTCTTGTGTTCAGGGGAGGACTGGACATGGCACTCAGTGCTCTGCTCTGGTTGACAGGGTGGTGATGGGTCACAGGTGGGACCTCATGTTCTCAGAGGTCTTTTCCAACCAAAATGATTCTGTGATTTTTATCCAGCCACTCTGCAAGCTTGGGGCTGTCTCTGCCTTGGCCACGTGGTACAGGGTGGGCTTATTCACAGAATCACAGAATGGGGGTCATGATGTGAAGATCAGAAGTGGTGACTTGGCTTTAGGCAGACAAGCTCTGGCTCAGCTTAGAAGCAGCTTTGTGTGGAGAAGCAGCCTTGACTCCGTGGTCCTGTGCTGCATACTCGCTGTGCTCCCACCCTGCTCTCCCTGAGGGCGTGGTAGCCCTGGCAGTGCAGCCCCCCAGCAGCTGCTGTGTGTCCCCCCGCAGCGGGTGTTCCCCTACATCTCGGCCATGGTCAACAACGGGTCCCTGACGTACGACCAGAGCAAGGACGGGCGCTGGACGGAGCTGGCCGGGTGTTCCGCCGACCTGCGCAACCAGAACCACGACACCTTCCTGGCGATCCGGTACTCCCGGGGCCGGCTCACGGTGAGCACCTGTGGGGGGTCGTGCACATTCAGTGGGGTGGGGGTTGCTGGAGCAGTATGTGACCTGGAGGTGGTTTTCCAGGCTCAGCTGCCTGCCCCTCCAGCACCTCCAGCTCTGAAAGAGCTGCAGGATAGCAGTGAGCATTCCTGGTGTGACCCTGCCCTGGTCTTGCAGGTGATGACTGATGTGGAAGACAAGAATGAATGGAAGAACTGCATCGACATTGCAGGAGTGCAGCTGCCAACCGGATACTTCTTTGGTGCTTCTGCTGGCACTGGAGATCTGTCTGGTGAGAGGGGGCTTTGCTCAGGGGAGCATTTGGTGGTTGGAGCCTGGACTAGGTGATCCTGCCTTGGCAGAAATGTTGGACTAGATGGTCTCCAGTGGTCCTTTCCAATCCCAGCTATTCTATGATTCTGTGACTGTAACACTGTGGATGCACTGGATAGCTTCCATGGCTTCCTTTCCCTGAATTGTTCACTGGGCTCTTGCAACCATCTTTAGCAGGAACCTGTGGCCGGGGGAAGGGGGTACTTGAGAACCAAGGAACATCTTGGGATTGCAGTTTGATACCTGGGAATGAGGTTGGCTTGAGAGGGAAGGAGACTGGACCTGGCAGAGCAGGGTCCAAGGGGTGCTCTGAGTGCCTGGACATCTCAGAGTTTCTGACAGCATTTGCTGGCTGTTCCACAGACAATCACGACATTATCTCGATGAAGCTGTTCCAGCTCATGGTGGAGCACCCTGTAGAAGATGAGACCGTTGACTGGACCAAGATCGAGCCAAGGGTCAGCCTCCTTAAGTCCCCCAAAGGTGAGTCCATGGGCTTCAAAGACCTTCCATGGGGGATTGGAATGTTGGGGCTGTGACACCCTGTGAGACTCTGTGGGAGCCAAGCTTGGGACTGTCTCTGTTCTTGCTCTTACAGACAACGTGGATGACCCGACGGGAAATTTCCGTAGCGGGCCCCTGACGGGCTGGAAGGTGTTCCTGCTCCTGCTCTGTGCACTGCTGGGCATCATCATCTGCGCCGTGGTGGGAGCCGTGGTCTTCCAGAAGCGCCAGGAGCGGAACAAGCGTTTCTACTAAAGGAACACCTGTGCCCAAACCCATCTTTTCTATGGGGAGCTGTAAAAACTGTGGTTTCTAAATGCTGTTTCTGAGAAATACCAGAAGTATTTTCTTACCTGTCTGTAAGTTTGGCTGTAACCCCCGCCCGGCCCTTGGCCTCCAGCAGATCGGACCAAGGGGGGGGTGATGCCCTCTGGACCTCCAGAGCTGTGGTGTGGGAGCCTAGAGGTTGCTCCCCAGTTTTTTCCAGTGCTCCCCTGCCAGCTGGGACCTGCTGTGCTGCCTGGGGCAGGTGTGAACATGAGGTGAGGGGCTGTGGAGAGGGGGCTGTGAGTGGGGCATTAAAGGACTGATACCACCTGCGGCTCTGGCTCTGTCTGAGGGGGGAGAAGGGGGGCTCTACATGGAGAGAGGATGGGATGGGAAACGCCGGTGGGGGGGCTGAAAGAGCTGGGAGTGAAGGGGGTGCTTTTCCCGGCAGGAGGGGGTCCCAGCTGCGTGGGGAGGCAATTTTGGGAGGGTCCCGAAGGAACTGGGCGGGGGGAGTCTGTGTTCTCTGGAATCTTCGGGGGGCACGCCATGTGCCCGGGGGATATTCCCGGAGGAAGGAGCCCCATTGGTGGCGGGCGGTGCAGGAGGAGGGGGGCACGTCTTCGGCGGTCGGTCCCGCCCCCGTCCCGCCCCGCCGGCGGAAGGGAAGCGTGTCCGTGTTTCCGGGAGGTCGGGGGGGAGCGGCGGGCGCCGCCAGCGTGTCCGCGGGGCGGCGGGGCCGGGCGGGCGCCATGGGCCCGGCCCGCCGCAGGGACGCGCTCCGGCTGCGCGGCGGCGGGTGAGCCCGGCGGGGCACGGGGGGACGGGGGTGACACCAGGGGGTCCGGCGGGGCGGGGTCAGGGGGGATCTGGGGATGGGAGTCCCGCCGCCCGCTGACCCCGCGCCGTTCCCCAGGTCCCCGCCGCTCCTGGGGCTCTTCCCCGGCCGACTCTCCGCCTTCCCGCTGTTCCTCCTGGCGCTGCTCCTGGGCTTCGCTTCGCTGCTCTGGCTCCAGCTCAGCTGCTCGGGCGAGGGGCCGGTGCCCGGCGGGCAGGACCGGGGGACTCCCCGCCAGCCCTGCCCGCCCCCCGCCCCGCTCCAGCCCGCCCGGGACGAGCCGTCGTGGGGCCCACACCGGCTGGCGCTGCTGGTGCCCTTCCGAGAGCGCTTCGAGGAGCTGCTGGCCTTCGTGCCCTACATGCACCGCTTCCTCAACAAGAAGAAGATCCGTCACCACATCTTCATCCTCAACCAAGTGGATCATTTCAGGTAGCGTCTCTCCCTGTGCTTAGGGACGAGGGCCCCTTCCCGAAGCTCTGTCCCTGCCATGAGCTCTGGGAGGGTCTTTTGGAGAAGCAGAGTGCCAGGCCAGTGGGACATGGTGGGCAGAGTGTGATGCTCTGCTCGAAGTTGCTCATTCTAGAGCTCAGAGAGAGATGAAGGTGTTTAGCTTCTCTTTTCCTTAGCAAGAATCACAGAACCCTCTAACCCCCGGGTATTTCAGCTTTCTCCCCCCATGTCACAGGTCTGCAGCAGCAAACATCTGGGGACTCTGAAATTCAAAGAAAGACCATGGGGTGTTTGGAAACACTATTGCTTGTCCCCAGCTCGCTCTGCATGGAGAAGCAGGGGTGCAGTTTCAGGACAAGGAGTGTTGTGTTTGTCCCTGTTTGGGGACTGGTTGGACATTGAGCATTGAGGAGTGTGACAGAGGGATGTGAAGGGACAGTGGCTGTTGTGTGTGGCACTGAGACCCCCCGGTCCCGTGGCAGGTTTAACAGGGCATCCCTGATCAACGTGGGCTTCCTGGAGAGCGGCAACGACACCGACTACATTGCGATGCATGATGTGGATCTCCTGCCCCTGAACGAGCACCTGGACTACAGCTTCCCAGAGACAGGGCCCTTCCACGTGGCATCCCCAGAGCTGCACCCGCTCTACCACTACACAACCTACGTGGGCGGCATCCTGCTGCTCACCAAGCAGCACTACGAGTTGGTGAGCACATGGGTGGGTTGTTCTGGATGCTTTGGGGCGGGGGCTACAACATTATCACGGTGAAGAGAGTTTTGTGCTACATGCTTGGGAAGCAGGGAAAGGAGTCAAAATGGTTTGGGACAGAGCCTGTGGTCTGACCTGGTGGTGGGGGCAGGAGAGGGGAGGCTGCGCTGGTGTTCAGGGCTTGTGCTGCTGGTGTCTGCTCCTCTGAGGCCATGGAGCTGTGCTGGACCTTGGCCGGTGCTGTTCTTGTTCCAGTGCAATGGCATGTCCAACCGCTTCTGGGGCTGGGGACGAGAGGACGACGAGTTTTATCGACGTATCAAAAGAGCTGGTCTCCAGGTAAGGGGTCTCTGTGCCCTCCTGGGTTGGAATTGCCCTTTTTATTGTCTCTTTGCCTGGTCCCTGCTGTGGCTGCCTGGGTTGGAGCCTGAGGAAGGCAGCCCTGCACTCCCTCCTCCAGCAGCAGGTGCAGGAGTTTTCCAGTGGCTCTACAGAAACTTTGCTCTTCTCCCAGGTTCGTCGTCCTTCTGGAATCACAACTGGATATGAGACATTCCAGCACCTGCACGACCCAGCCTGGAGGAAGAGAGACCAGAAGCGCATTGCTGCACAGAAGCAGGTGAGAGCTGTGGTCAAGGGGAACCATGGGAGGCTTGGGTTGTGATCACCGCATGCTCTGAGCCCTCATTGCTCATGTCCTCTCCTGCCAGCTCTCTGCTCCCTCCTCAGGCACTGGGTATTTCCCACTTCCAATGTGGGCTGAACAGTCTTTCTCTTCCCCAGGAGCAGTTTAAGGTGGATCGTGAGGGAGGTTTGAACAACGTGAGGTACCGAATCGAATCACGGACAGATCTGAGCGTGGCAGGAGCCCCTTGCACCGTCCTTAATATCTTGCTGGACTGTGACACAAATGAGACCCCCTGGTGCACGTTTGGCTGAGCCCGTCCCCGTGTGTCAGTCGTGTGCACTGTGCTGGTGCCAAGACTCTGGGGCTGCCGTGGAGCTGCTTGGAGCAGGCAAGATTTTGGCAGCGGATGAGCGTGGCAGTGCTGGTGAGACACAGAGGAACAGACGAGGCTGAGAACTGGGTTTTGCTGGGACCAACACAAGAGGCTGAGAGTGGGACTCGGTGGTGTTGCTGCTGGCGCTAGTGCTGCCTCCCATGGCAGGCACAGGAGGTGGTTTTCCTGTGCTGGACGTGCCTGAGCTGCCACTCAGCTCAGAGGACAATAAAGACCTGTCAGGGCAGTTGTGAGTTGTGAATGCCCTGGGTTGTGCTGTACCACTCCATTTTCCTACTCTCTTTACCTTCCTGGCTTCACTGGCTTCGCCCTGGGGGTGCTCTGGTTCGTAGGCTGAGCCGGTCTGAAATGGGCTCTGAGATGGTGCCTGTTCCAGCTGCCAGGTACCCCCAGGGCTGGGCTGTGGTCACTCCACTGCAGGAAGTGGTTGTGGTTAAGCTGTGCCCTGAGCCCCAGGATCCACAGCCCTGCTGGATGTCAGCAGTTGTAGGCCAGGATCTCTCTTTGGAGTAAGGAGGAGAGTTCTGGCTTGAGCTGCTCCTCTCCCTGTCTGCCCTCTGTGGCATATGCTGCCTCAGCCTGTCTGGAGGGGGTTGGAGAACTTGATGTCTCCCCAGAAGTGCTGAGGGGAACTGGGATCTGCTCTAGCCCTGCATTCCCTGTCCTGGGAAGGACTGGCTGCCAGGCTCACTGCAGTGCTGGTGGAACTGGGGGAATGGTGTGGGTGAAGTGTGGGAATTGAGACAGTCACCCCTAACTCACCTGAGCTGAGAGTTACAAGAGCTGCTGTGGGCAAGGGAGGGGCTGGGGTGTTCCTGTTGAAGGTGGGAACAGGGCGGTTTGGGTTGATAAGAGAAAGGCAAGTCTAGGGGGGGACCAGGCTGCAGCTCCCACCTGCTCACTCCAGCCACCTGGCACTGTCTCACTGCCAGGGCAGTTTCTCCCATGTCATGGCAGGACAAGGACCTGGGTGGGGAAGTTGGAAAGGTCCCAGTGGGTGAGAAGGGATGCTGGGGGCTGCCGGTTGTTAAGGTTTAGTAGAAATCAGCCACACCAGCAGCTTCTTCTGGGAAGTGGGATGTGTAGAGCTGGGCAGAAGGGGCCCTCAGGAGAGCTTGAGACCCAGGTGGGAGCAGTGGCTGTGGAACAGCGCCTGGTCCATGCCTGCTCATGCTGGGAGTGAACCGGCACTGTGACCTCTGTGATGCTGCCACTCACCCTCATCTGCTGAGGGTGGCAAATGCCTGATGACTCTCAAGGGAGACCCCTGCCAACACTGGGCTCCTCTCCTCCATCACCAGCCTGTCCTGGCCATGGCCTTGGGCTGCTGTGTGGATGGAGCTGTGCCACTCCAGAGTGGAGGGTGCTCAGGCTGGCTCACAGATGGTGCCATGTGTAGGCCTGCACCAAGCTGACTCTGGGGTTTTGGCACATGTTTTGGGTACTTGCCTCCTCAAGCTGGGTAAACTCCATTGAACAGCCAGTACCCCTCTGTTCAGCCCCGTCACCAGCACTGGCACCAGGCCCTCCACATTTCCTGGTCCCTTCTGTCCTCGTCCCCTGCTTGGCGCTTCCCAGAGTGGTCTCTTTGCATTCCTAGACAGAAGCTGTTGCCATCCTGGGAAGATGAGCAGCTCTGGGGAGGAGTGCTGGGATGAGGGAGGCAGAAGCATCAGAGCCAAGTGAGGGGGTCGTGTACCATGTAGGAATGGGGTATCTGGAGAGATCTGGTGCCATCTGCTCTCTGTGCTGCTCTGGAGCTGGGAGAGGAGTCTGGAGCCCTCAGATGGAGTGTGAGGGGGGCTGTCTCCAAGGCAGGGGTCGTGGTGGCTGTGCAGGATGGTGAGGATCAGGCTGTGCTGCTTTGCGTCATGGAAGGGGCAGGCCCAGCCTTGAGGTGGGGGGATGTGCTGCCCAAGAGTTCCCATTGGCCTCTCCAGCCCAGTGGCCCCAAAGCAGCACTGATACCTGGCACGAAGATTGCTGGTTGGCTGGGACACCCAGTGCACGCCTCTAGAGGTGTTCCCAGGACCACTCATGTCCCTCGCTGTGGGCAGCCAGAGGGAGATGTCAGCCTAGCAGCCCCACTCCTGTCTTTCCATGGTGCGGGTTTTGGGATTGGCCACCTGTATTCCAGCCACTTCCTGGTGCCTGAACCACAGCCAGGGCTGGCAGAGGCAGATCAAAGTATTTCTCTACACCGTTCAAAATAGATGACACAATTTTGGGCAGGTTTCATGGAGACGTAGCTGTGCAGAAACAGAGCATATGTGCACCTCACACTTCGCTCAGCGCTACAGGCTC